TGACGTTAAAATTATTATACTTAGGGAGGGAGGAAAGAGGGAGGAAATTCTAAAAGAAGGGAAATAGAATAGAAGTAAACTTTAGAAGGGGATTTGTAAGGATAATTATAATAATAAAAGATACTTCGGGTAAATCGGCCAGTAAAAGAATTACAGAAAGGAAATGTAAAACATCAAGGTTGAAAAATAATTATAGGAAAATTTAATAAACTTACTAATGTAAATAAACTTCAGTAAAAATCAAATTATGAAAGGAAAAGAAAAAATTTTTATTTATAATTCTGAGAAAATATTAAATAAAAAGAAAAAATTGTTATTCTAACATTGTAATTCAAAGAAAAGTATTTACAAATTCGTCATTCCTACATTTTCACAAGTTTTCCAGACTTGTTATTCCTACATTTTCTCTAGTTCTCCAGACGATTTTATAAATCTGAAAACACTATAAATCTAAAAAACACTATAAATCAAAAAATAAATAAGTAAAAACAATAATAAGGGGGAAAAATTCAGGGTGGGATAACCTAATCACTTTACAATAGCCAAAATTATAAATTATACTAAGCTCTAAATAAATAAATACAAATATTAATGACAAGTTGTATAAGACATTTCCAAAAAGCAAGAAAGAGAAAAATATTAATGTTAAGAAAAGATAGATCGATGGCGCCCAATATTAGAAAAACTTATTTTAAGAGAAACAAACGAATTAATATAACAGTGGAGCCTAGAAAGTTAAAAATATGAAATATTAAAAATAAATTTAGCCAAGATAAAATATTAAAAGAAAAACATAAATAAAATTAATAAATAGACAGAATACGTAATAGTAAAAAATATATACGATATTCAGGGTCCAAACAAATATATATATATATATAGTCTAATATACGTAATATAAAATAATATATACATAATATAATGTTAACGTTGTGTTTGGGATTTATATTTATATAAGATCTAATGGACAGTTAGAAACCAACCTAAAATATGCAAACTAAATAATATATACATAATATGAACTATGAATATATATACGTATATATATAAATAATAAAGTATAATGTAATATCAGTGGCGTAGCTACGGGGGTGGTTTTCCCCTCCCAGAGCAAAATTTTATTTCTAGATTATACGTTAAAAGACTTAAAGTGATTTTATATCAAATAAATATTTATATTTTTCTGGTTTTGATGTTTGTGGAAGGATATAATATTACTATTGAAATTATTCTGGATAGTATTATTATAAAGTCATTGAGAATAATCTACTAAATTATAATAACATATTATTGATGCATTTAAAAAATATAAGTTATGGTTATAATTTGTAAGATAAACCCGGCCGAAGGCCGGTCAAAAGGGCTGAAGGCCAGTTAAAGGGGGTCTGGGGGGTGAAGCCCCCAGGTTTTATATGTATGGACCCCCTCTAAGAAAGATTTCTAGCTACGCCACTGTGTAATATGTATTTCGTAAATCTAATAAATCTAAATTAAATATAAGATAATGGTACAATGTGCTAACATTAATATGTTTGTGTTATGTCAAGCTCAATTCGAGAAAATAAAGAGAAACGGTATCAATTAAAAGAAAAACCAGTAAAAAGCTAATACTTAATATAATAGATAAATATAAAATATATCAGTTATACTAAGTAAAAACCAACTAAAGGCTATTTAAAGCAATAAGATTAACAAATATATTTGTAATATGACAATTTAAAACTACTATAAAAATAACATGTATAAAATTTTAAATTTTTGAAAGTTTTTTGTTTTTCAAGAACTATAAAAAATATGTATAAAATATACTTGTGTAGTTTAGAACTACTTTAACTAATAAGGGTATAGATAATTTTTTGACCGCAGACTATGTGAGAAGGCTACAATTTTTGAAAGCATATCCCAGGCTAAAACAGTGGAAGAATGCTGGATGATCTCTAAATGTGACATTCATGAGGCAAGCAAGGTATTAGCAAGAAACAATTCTCTCGGAAGGAATGAATGGATATCCACCACTACTATGATAAAAATTGAAAAGCTCCGTTTAAAAGGCCACTTTGATAAAGAATTGTGGAAATCTATACAGAGATTGCTTAGAAGTGACAGAAGAATTTTTACGGTCAGGAAAGCACACGAGATTGATGCAGATATGAGAGGAAACAGGATTTTTGATGCCTACAGCAAACTCAAATATTTTTGCAAATGCAAAATTTTCAAAAAACTCCCTTCCATTCGATTGGAAAATAACAAAGTTATAATCGACCAGGATGATCAATTGGCGCTCTGGACGGACCACTACATGAGGATCTTCGAATCCAGGAAACCGACAAGCGTACTATCTGATTTCCAAGCCACACCTCAATATACCTCTCAGTTCTCACTAACCGAAATTTCTTCTGCACTTAAAAAACTTAGGAATCACAAAGCTCCTGGCCCAGACAATATTACTGGTGAGCATCTTAAAGCAACATCAGAGGCAGTACCACGTTTCCTGCAAATCATCTTTAATAAAATTTGGTCCACAGGGGTGACACCGAAGGACTGGAATCTATCCACCCTCTGCAACTTTCCTAAAATTTCAAATCCAACTAAATTTGGAGATAACAGGGCAATAGCACTCACCTCTACTGCTTCTAAAATATTTATGATCCTCCTCAAGTTTCGCATTTTACAAACATCGCAAAACATCTGCGCCTATCGCCCAGGCAAAAACATTATGGAGCCTTTTCTTGCTCTTAAAATCATCATTCAAAAATGTGATTGATATAAACTACCTTTCTTTTTCACTTTTATCGATTTTAAACAGGCGTTTGATAATGTTAATCATGATGCGATTTGGAAGATTTTATCAGAAGTTGGGGTTGACACAAACATAATCAAGATATTACGGCACCATTATAACAATTTGCTTACCTCATGCAGAATAAACAATAAAATCTCTCCACCGTTTAGGATAAAAAAAGGAGTGAAACAAGGCTGTGTTCTCTCGCCAATCCTCTTCAACATAGTTATGAATAAGATTTTAAAAGATACTTTAGACGCTGCAAACCTGCTGGAACTAAACTTATACCCGAATAAGTACAATCTAGAGAACAGGATTATATCATACGCCGATGATGTGGTAATCATCACCAATGATTTAGAGGAAACCTCCAATCTTATTCATTTGTTGAAATTGGTGAGCTCGAAAGTCGGGCTAGAAATAAACTTCAAGTAGCAAGACACACGTCTCCCATAGAAAGTATCGATGTTGGGTCTTATGTGATTAAGGTGGTTACCCAGAGGGGGCTGTAAAGAAGAACTCAGGATAAGAATACAAAAAGCTAGGGTAGCTTTTTACAAGTACTTCAAGTTATGGAAAACAAGGGAGATACCTGCCTCACACGACTACGTATCTTTAATTCCATTGTGATTCCCATTCTATTATATGGCTGTGAAACATGGGAAATAAGCAAAGCTGATAATAGGAAATGTCAAACGTTTATCAACAGGTGTTTAAGGATAATTAACGGCATTTTCTACCCCAGACTAATATCGAACGAAAGGTTATGGAAACAATCAAAACATATTCCTTTCCATATCATACTAAAGAAAAAACGAATTAATTTCTTAGCGCACATTCTGAGACACCCCAACTGCAATTTGGTTCATGATGCTTTAGCTTGGCTTTTTACCTGTAAAGGTGAATCATACAGCAGATACAAAACATTATGGCTCCACCGGGTATTGAAAGACGTTGCTGGCCTGAACTTAAACTGGAAACAGTTCACCAGACTAAACAAAAATAAAAAATCTATCAAAAAGCTTCTTAAGGTAAAATCTGGGTACCTGAGATGATATCCCCTATCCGTTACTTCACCCTTACCCACAAATATACCCTTCCTCTCCCTCAGCCACCTCAAGAGTACAAGTTTTCTTTTATTTAAATAACATATTTTTTTATTAAATGTGAATCTTTAAACATTAACTTAAACCAGCCTTCCCCTATCCAATCATAGTTAGATAAAATTAGGACAGTAGGTATGGGTGTAGGCTGTCTTATTTGGCCCTGTCCCTTTCTCAATCAGCCCATAGACGTTTAAACGATAATCCTTGGACTATTGTGCGTACAAGTACGTGCGGCTTGCCCACAAACGTGTAAAGGGTTTCTCATATTTTCTTCCCCACCTTAATAAATCCAATTAGATGGAAATGAGAAAATCCAATTAGATGGAAATGAGAAAAATCTAGCGTAGCTCTGTTGTTCCTACAACGTTGAGAGGGTGAATGTGCTTTGGCATTTTTATTCTTTAGTATATTTATCAAATTATATTCTAAGGCATTTATTTTATTTTGGGAACATTTTAACCCCACCCCCCTTCCTTCTCTATATAAAATTAGAATAAATTATATATATATAATTTATGCCTGTTTTAAAAATAAAATTGAGTATACTGGAACTCTCCAATATTACTTAAGTAAACTATAAAAGTTAATAATAATAATATAATCTGTTATAAATTAATAACATTATATTTACAAAACTATAACTACCAAAATATAGTAGATAAATATTTACAAAACTATAACTACCAAAATATAGTAGATAAAAAATCTATAATTATTTTGTTTGCCAAAAAATTAACATTCATATATCATTAATTTGATTTTGGTATGTGCTAGAAGTCTGCAATAGGTGGGACAGTTAGTATGATTTTTGAATACTTTGCTATAAATTTTATATATAGGGCTGGCAGGTTAGAAATATTAAAATAATGGAGACAGGTGAATTTGTATATTTTGGAACAAATGAGCAGAAATTTATTAATTATATTTATTTTTAAGCATGTTTATTGGAATTGAACTATAATAGGAATTGAATATATGCTGGAATAATTTAATTATATGTACAGAGAGCAATCTCTTAATTATTTAAATTGTTGAATAATAATCAACATAATATTTTTCCAAATAATTTATTTTTGCATTTAAAATCACTTATTCATTTTATATACTTGCAGATTCTTCCAAATCTACAACAGTATCATCTACATTTAAGTAAAGTTTATAAACACAGAAATATTGTAATATCTTAAATGGATCAACTTAGTACATTTGCCAATTCCATATGATAAATTTTTTACATTTTATTATATATGATCTATAAATACTATTTTTATTACAATATAATTGACTCTGTAATTCACACATAATATATAAATAAATATATAAAAAAAATAAGAAAATAATTTATATAAAAAATAGTTTACAATGCATATAATTTCATTTGATCTTTAAGTTCATTTTCTGAGAATGTTCCAAATTTTTCAGATTGTGTTTCCATTAAACTCATAATTGCCTTTAATTGTTCCCTTTCAATTCTAAAATTTTTATTAAATTATTAATTGTTTGTCATAGCCAATATACCTTTTTTCTTCTTCAAGTTCTTTTGAGGATAATTTATTAATAGCCTCATATAATTTATTTTTGGGGGTTATTTTTGGTACATCATCAAGATGAAATATGCAATTGGGAGGAAGATCAATAATTGGCATCTGCTTACCCTTTTAAAGAAACATTGAATATAGTTATTGAATGTTTATAAATATTTTTAGATTCAAATAATGTACATTTGGAGAGATTGTGAGCTAAATGAATGTATTAATAATTGCCCATGATAATTTTAATATCAAATTAATTCTTAATCATATTACTTTCGATTTTGATGATCTGTATACTATAAAAGTTATTAATGAAGTTATAATGATACTGAATATTACAAAATAAATCGATATCATATGGAATTCAAATCTGAAAAGGATAGAAGTTTAAACGTAGAATAATAAAATCCATAAGATGATTAAATCATAAAGGAAATTTTTTAATTGGACGAAATATTAAATTTAACTAGAATAGATATATTGCTACACAACTTTTCGGCATTTATAATACAAAAAATATTTTTATGGATACCGAGTTGAAAGCGTTCATTCAAGAGTATATATTTTTTAAAACACGGAGCTCAATGTTAATTTTTTTAATACTATTAATTATATTTTCATACGACAAATTACTTCAACTAGTTTAACACCAATAAAAATATTTTTTAATTTATAGATACCGAAAAGTTGTGTAGCTATATAACTTCAAAAAAATGAATTGATATAAGGAGTATGATTGGATGTTTCAGACAGATATATAAACTCAATTAAATAGTGTTTAATGGCTAACTCAATATTTTAGCCAGAATATTGCCAGCCTAGAGATTTCGACACATTTGTTCCATCTATGAACAAAATCTTTAGTGCGTAATATTTTTCTATATGATATATTGAGTTTGCCGTTTTTAAAAATCGGCTCAAAACGAACCGTTTAACAACACTACAATTAAACAAATGATTTAAATTTTAATAAAGTTTATTTATTTTTATATATTTCCAAGCAAGACCACTCCTGTAATTACTGTGAAACAATAAATATTTGAAAAAAATTTGATGTGGTAACGACAATTTCCTTGAGTTGATTTAAATTTTAGTTATCAGATTTCAAAATATAGATAATTTGTTAAGTTTTGGCTTTAAGCTATAAAATTCAAATGTCAAATTCTGCCCTATTGTAAACATTAAATTTTAATTTGAAAATATGTTGTTAAATTTTAACTCAACAAAATGTCAAATTCTGTCCCCTGGATTATAAACCTCTTCGCCATCTCTAAACAGAATCTTAATTATAGATACTACCTAATTCCTAAACCAACCTAAATTGCTAAATACCGACCAAAATTTATTAAAATGTAATAAGACCCCAGGCTTGTTAACCGATCTTTTTAAAACGATCGAATCCCAATCACGATCTTTTCAAAAAAAGAGGATCGAAATCCAGGATCGACTTTTTTTTAAAAAAAAGATCGCGATCACGATCTTCTCTATTTAAATTTCTGAATGAAATTTCTGACCGATGCAAAATTAACTAATATAAAAATAAATTAAATATGGTAGAAATTTATTGTAATTGAATATATAACAATTATAATATATTTATAATTAAAATTAGCTTTTAATAATAAAATTTTTTCTAAATTAACATCATTTAAACATCCGCGTCTTTCATTTAGAACATGTTTAGCTTTACTAAACAAGCGCTCCACAGGAGCGCTTGATGGCAAAGGTGTATTATATTCAATAAATATTTTTTTTAAATTAATATAAGTATTAAAAATATTCATGGAATCATCATTTGAATAAAAATTTTTTAACGGAACAAGCATTTTGTACATTATTTTTCCCAAAAAAAGCATTAATGTCATCCATACATTTATTTGAGGTATCCGCATATGGTTGTTCCTGCATATTTTCCAAATGGGCAACTAATTTTCTTTTACCATCATATTTTGTGGCAGATTAATATAAGGCCAATTAAGTTTAAATTTAGGGTGAATCATGGCTGCCAAAATGTTACTGTCTTCATACAGTGAAGGAAATCTATATTATGAAATGATAATTAATTTATTATTAAATAAGTGTTCATTTTATTCATATAAATCAAATCAAGTATCTGCAAAACTTAACCCTTTTAAATTTTACAGTCAAGTCTGGCACATCATCTGTATGGTATTTATTTATATTTGGGTCTTATCATAAATATTGATTAGATGTAAACTTAATACTTTATATTAATCAAAATATTAGCTTGAATTTCAAATAATCTAATAAATTTTTAATGTTTTCAAAGGCCCATTAATATTTTACTAGATATCAGAGGTTTAGTAGAACTGGCTTGTTAAAAATATTTTACTAAATTTGCCAGATCTTTGCAATTTTTTAATATATTTTGCAGATATCTGATAATATCAAATAATTGCATAAAAAATATTACCTTTTATCAATACCTCTAAGAACACTATCTACAAGGGGCTGACAATACCGCAGGCAGCTAAATTTCGTTAATTTATCTATCAATATCGATAGAAAGGGAGTTAGATATCCCTGTTCCATATTATCCTCCAGTTCCAAGATTTTTAAAGACATCGCCAAAGGTTCCATAACCTATAAAATTTAAATTTATTTAGAGAATACCATTGTATTACTGTTGCATACTCTTTAACAAAAAGACATTCCTCTTGCCTAAACATTGCAAATCCAATTTAATCAGATACTTGTTCTACTTCTGAAAATTTTTCAGTAAAGCATCTTACCGATTAATTTCATGGATTGGTAATAAGAATTCTATCTTGTATTGTTGGGAGCTAGATATCTTCCCAATTTCTCCAATAAAATATCCGCCATTCTTGACGACATATTTTGTTTATTAACTAAAGCAAAACATTTTGCAAGAGTGGATCTAGATATTCGTTTATAATTGAGATCACTATCTGCCATCTCCGCATCTGTCGTTGCAATAAGGTTAAGATTATGGTAACAACAACGTTGATGTTTTGGTAGGCTGATAGTAGGAATAATTGGGTCATTAACGGATAATATGTCATCCAAATTTATCAATTCCATATCCTGATACTATCTTCTTCATTTTCTCCAAAAACTCTAGAAAAAATAAATTTATTAAATATTTTTTGCTAAATATAAATATTACTTAAATGCCTTGACTTCGTTCCATTGTCAGTCACAATCTTCACCACCTTAATATGAATTTTATAGAACTTGTGGATACCCATGATTTCGTTGGCCAAAACATCATATGTTTGCCTCCCAATTATCCTCCTCAGTGCCAAAGCGGCTGACCTTCTCTTGAGGGTTAATGGATCCAGCCAATGTGCAGTAAGTCCTAATAAAATAAACATTATAAAATTCATATAAATATAATACCTTCGATGACCACTCCAACAATCAGCAGTGGTGCATACATAAGAAACTTCAGACAAATCTCTTATAAGATTTGTCGTCATATAAGAGAAGGAAGTAGATATTCTGTTGCCCAGTGTTTGGCGACAAATAATTTTTGTCGCAGGAGAAAAAGTTTTAATCATTTTTTCAAATGAAGGATCATCAACCAGAGACAATGGTTGGAAGGTGTCAATAATAAAATCCATGATAACCTTGTCTGCTGTTTTTTGCGATATAGCTGGAATGTTTAGATTGTTAAAATTTAATTTAGATTGTCTGCGTTTGCAACCAGAACCACTTTGGTTTTGCAGTGATATATTTTTTTTGTGTAGAGAATTCGTTGAGGTGTATGGTAATCTCATTTTTAAATTCACTGTGCTTTTTCTTTATAAAAGAAAAAAATAGTATGTATCAAAGTTGGATGAAAATAACTTCTCCTGAATCAAATTTCATTTTTAAAATTTTATATGGAAATTTAAAGTTAAAAAAAACAATGTACAGGCTGAATGTAAAACCTATATAAACAAAAAAATGATAAAGGGTTCAACACAAATTTTGTTAAACATATCAAAGTATATTATTTAATTTATATATGGTTAAAAAAGGTTCATATAGGTTATTTTAAATTTTAAGTTTACAATATTGTCTTTGTCTATCATTATTAAAAGTTGCCCAAGATGATATGGGCTAAAGATTTTGATAAAATATTTTCCTATATATGAATATAATTAGCCTTTTTGGCATTTAAGAAATATGGATTAAGGGTTCAACAAATTTTGTTAAACATATTAAAGTATATTTTATTAGTGGTTAAAAGGGGGTAGGTTATCTTAAAAATTTAAGTTTACAATATTGTCTATCATTATTAAAAGTTGCCCAAGATGATATGGGTCAAAGATTTTGATAGAGTATTTTCCTATTATGAATATAATGAGGCTTTTTGGCATTTAAGAACTTATGGATTGAGTCAAATGATACAAAAAATACTTTCAATTCAAAATATATTATTTAAAAAAGCCCTAAAAATGTTGTCAAGAGGATTATATAATCAAGCTCAAACTGAAACTCTAATACTAATTGATTAGATTTAACATATTATAATAAAGAAATATTAGAATAGATATTTATTTTTCTTTTGGTGAAACATTGCTAAGTTCAATACAAATAACATTGAACTGATTATATTAAGGAAGTCAAAATACATTATAAAGGCATAATTATTAGTTATTACACTTCCATTTATTATAAATACTCTTCTTTTGAAAATTAAACTAATATAATAGTAATATTAAAAAATAAATTCCTAATTATTATATATAAATAACAAAACCAAGATTAACTCTTCATCAAATATTTTATTAATTATACTGTATCTAATAATTCACTTTTATTATAAAGAATCTGTATCTAGATTCTATTTCTGTAGGACCTGCTCAATTCAGGAATGTAATAAATTAAATTTAAACATGTTGACGTTAAGATTATCAAATAAAAAAAATTTAAAATAATTACTTGTAAATGTCTCTTTAAGTTCGAGGATGATATTTTGGAAGATGATATTATCTTCTTACAGAGACGGCATTTGGTGCTGATCATATTATAAGAGTTGCTTTCATCCATTTCACATAAAGTAAAATACTTACTTAATTTCAAAATGGCAAAAGATTCTCATTCTCACTTATATCTGCTGATCAATAGTAGAAGCAATAGTATCTTCTAAATTTATAATGGACATTTACATTTAGCTATTATAATAAATATTAATATATTATTATAAATTTATATTAAATAACTTGTAATAGCTCTAAATCTCGTAAAATTTAGGAAATGAATAAATATATCTATAAAATAAATGGTGGAATGGAAGTTGATAAAATATGAAGATAGATATTTTTTTAAAAAATAATATTTTAATTTAATTTTCAAAATTTTTATTTTATTTATTGCTTTTTAAGTAAAAAATTAATTTTTAAAAAGATCGGGATAGAATTTTAAACAAAATG